GGGTGCCCCAGCCTGGAGCAGCTGCCCGCAGAGCCCGTGGAGTCTCCTGCTCTGGAGAGATCCCAAACCCGCCTGGATGCCATCCTGGGCACCCTGCTGTGGGTGAGCTGCTGGAGCAGGGGGTTGGATGAGGCGATCTCCCTCCCAGCCCAAATAAAACAAGCTAAAGGACAGCCCAGCCCCTGGAAACTTTGCTTCTGGGAAGTTCGGAGCTCCCAGCCCCTCTGGCACGGCCCTGAACCCCCCCCAGCATCGCCTGGTGTCACAGGTCGGTACCTCCAGGGACACACACATCAACAGACACGTGGCAGGAACGCAGCAGGAACACCACTGCTCTGCAAAGCCTGCCTGGGGTTAGTGACAGGTAGTGTGGCTGTTAAAGATTAGTGCAATCATCTTGTACCTGAATGGTGAGTAGGGTGAGGCAACATCTAAGAAGAAATTTTGGGTGGTGAGCCCCTGGCCCAGGCTGCCCAGAGAGGTGGTCACTGCCCTATCCCTGGAACCATTCCAGGTGAGGTTGGATGGGGCTCTGAGCACCCTGGTCTAGCTGCAGATGTCCCTGCTCAGTGCAGGGGGGTTGGACTGGGTGACCTTTAAAGGTCCCTTCCCACCCAAACTATTCTATGATTCTCTGATCGAAGGGTGTAAGAACCACCCATAAAGGCACATCCAGGTGCCCCAGTTTGGGGGAGATGCCTCACACACAGGAATAAATATTTACCCTTGTAACAGCACATTTTGTGTCCTAGCCTCTCTCGGGCGGTGCGGGCTGGTTGTGAGTCCTGGTGACCAGGAACAGGCCCCAGGTGACTGTGGTCAGTGGGAACCAGGACTCACTGAGGGGTGGCTGGAGAGCCACTGTGGGGCCCTGCTCCTGCCATCGGGTACCGGTGTCACCAGCAGCCAGCTCACCTAATACAAACTCTGTTTATTCAGAAGAAAGTGGTGCCAGCAAAGCCCCGGCCGCTCACGGCTCACACTTGGCAGGCAGACACTCCTTTCCATGGGGAGATCTTGGCAGGCCAGCCGTGTTTTAGGCTTTTGGGTCAGCCTGTGGTACTGG